TTCGAATAAAGGCCATTTAGTTATCTCTGGAATGATGTAAAAACGAGCGTTCTTGCTCATTTTGCTTCCGAGAAACATGCAAAGCGGGACGGAAAACATGAAATTTTGCAATAATCTTGCGCCACCCTTGCACAAAACGACGATAATTTTTCTAATTTTATAGACAACAGAAGACTGTATTTTTTCTACATAACCCCCCCCCCTGACTTTAAAGCTGGATCCGCCCCTGTACAAGAGCTATTGAGCAAGTGGTCTGGGCAGTTGTTAAAAACAGTAGGTTTTTACCAAGATTTCGGCAATAAAATTTTCCGCCTTCATCAGTGTTTACGGACAGAGAAAAATATTACCGCATATTGTTCAATTTCGGTAGTATACAGCAAATTTCAACAATATTCTAACAAATCTAATAGAAACAATCTATTCAAACAATACTGACACGAATCAATTGAATGACATGCAGTTTGACGCATAAGTAAAAACGTTCCGTGAATGGTGCTTTCCAAAAATTTTCAAATATTTTGACTAATAGGCATTACTTAGTATGTGTGTATCAATCCAGTCACCATCGTGATTTAGCCTATGAATTTAAATCATCTGCTGCCCTCTAGGGGATTTTATCTCTGCCAGTCGAGCGGTTTCGTTGTTATCGGCCGGCTGCATTTGCGCTGCGCAAACTACAGGCCAAACGCCAAACGACTCGACCGCCATGTTGACCTGTGCCTAACCGTTTCGGTCAGATTGATGCTTTTCCAATTTTTTCCGTTTTGGAATGGGAAATTCTAGGCGATTTTTCGCTAAATCCGATTTATACAAGTGGAACAAGTGTGGGACGTAACTGGATTTTACCCGGGTGAGTCGCAAACGGCTGAGTTCTGTTTGGGCGCCAACCTCGTCTCAATCACCCTATGTTATATTGCTTGTTGTGCTTTATCTATTCCAAACCTAACGCCAGTCGTAAACTTTCACACAATTTGCCGATCCAGGTGTAAAATTTAGCGCAATTGCTGCCGGACTTTCCCAATTGGGTGATCAACAAACCCGGGAAAGCTTCATGTTTATGTTTTGATTTCTTCCAGCGTTTGGGCCCAACAGCCGGAGCCCTACCATTGAATACCAACAGTCGGGATGTTTTATTCCCATTTTATTTTGGCGAAAAAGGGGCCGCTAGCCCGGATTTGGCTGGCGGCTCACTGGGACAAGAAGATTACCAAAGCCCATGTCTTTGAGACGAATATCGAAACCTCAGTTGATGGCAAGTTTATTTAGTGTGTCTTTCTTGTGATCTTTTCAGCAGCTGAAAATATGTAAAAACTCAGCAATTGGCAGAATAAACTTTATTTTAATTTCATTTGGCAAGGGTTTCACTAGACCTGTTGAATCCAATTTACAAAATCACCCTCACTTGCTCTTATATGAAAAACAACCGTTTGAAAAAATCATTGTAGACCTGTTTTTCTAGCAAAATACAACCCTTAGACTGGCAAAACTTGAAATAAAAACCCAGTCAGTTAAAAGTTCCAGATAAACGAATAGCTACTGAATTTTGGTCTGTTCTTGCAGGCATCATTAAGCCTAAAGTGAAGCTAGCCCTTCGAACATCGGGCCATTTACTGCTGGGAGTGGTTCGGATCTATTCACGCAAAGCCAAGTATTTGTTGGCTGATTGCAATGAAGCCTTCGTCAAGATTAAAATGGCCTTTAGGCCGGGCATGGTGGATCTGCCGGAAGAACATCGGGAGGCCGCCGTAAACGCCATCACTTTGCCAGAAGTTTTCCACGACTTCGACACGGCGATTCCCGAATTAAAGTGAGCAAAAATTGCAAAACTGGTGTTCATTTAGACAAACTGGTGGATTTTTAGTGATGTGGATATCGAGGCCCAGTTCAGTCTCAACCAGTCACGAGCCGAAGAAATCACCATGCGAGAAGAGTATGGAAGCATATCACTAGTAAACCCTGATGATGGATTTGGGGACATGGGCTTTGATTCGGATGCGCCTGAATTGATGCGACATGCCGGCGATCTGGAACCTTCAATGGAGCAGAGTAATTTGCTGTTCAGTGAGCCCGTGTTGGAACCTGAATCCATGCATAAAGATTTAAGTGAACCGATGCCCTCAACGTCCGGTACTCAATCGCATGATCAACCAATGGAAATTGATACTGGCGTGCATGATGATAATCTGATATGTAAGAACCAGTGTTGAAAACTTGGAGAACCCAACGGGTTTTAATGGGCAATTATTTGCTTCAGCTGGAGGGTTGTTTGAAGGCGGCCTTTTCGATGAAGCGCCTATGGGCGAAGTTGCGCCAGTAGACACGAGTATTCCGGTATCTTCAAACCTGCCACGACCGCCCTTAGATAGTGACGATGATGATGGAGATATGGATAATTTTGGAGGGCCACCATCAGTTGGGGGAATGAGGTGGATTTTCCTGATTGCCCTTTGAAGCAGCAATAATATTTTTTTACATTTCTAGTTCGGTTGGAGGATCGCGACCTCCAACGCCGCTAAATGATCACTCGCAGCATCCTTCCACCCGACCTCAATCACCATCCCATCAGTCAGTACCGCCTCAATCACCCGCTCACAGTATGAGGTCCATGAGAAGTTTGCAACCAACTCCCGCGCCACCAGATGTGAGTTGAAGTGATTATCTTAAAACAATCCAATGCAATTTTTGCTTGCATTACAGCTCCCTCAAGTTGAGGAACCCCCTCCAGCCATTGATCAGACGACTCTTCTGCAGAACGAAGAAGAGAGTTTTGCCCTTCCGCCAGTCGACACTACTGCACTAAAAGGTAAAATTGAACAAATCTGGGTTGTCACCTTGGATTTAATTCTGAATGTTTGTGACTAAGTCCATTTTTGATTTAACATTAAAAAAAGCCGCAGGTGAGATTACTTGTGGCAACGCCGTTCTTCAAGACCAAATTGGACTATTAATTACTTCGCCTCATCTATTCTATTCATCAAAAATAATAACTTTCATGCATCTATTTTCCTAGTATTTCATTTACTTTAGTTACCCCAGTCTTTTTTCTTTACATCCCGAGGACTGCTCTAATCTCTGAATAGATATGTATCTTCTAGGCGTGACCAAAACCAAACGGAAACGAAAACTGATCATTGACGAGGTGAAGAATATCAGCGGCGAGGAGATGAAGAACCAACTGAGCGACACCACTGATATAGGTGAGACTTGACCTTTGTTTGCTAGTTTCTGGTTTTGAAAAAAAAAATCTTCAGTTACCTCGCTCGACTTGGCGCCGCCAACTAAACGATTGATGCATTGGAAGGAAACTGGAGGTGTGGAGAAGTTGTTTGCGCTGCCCGCTAGATTGATACCTGCTCGCATTCTCTTCAAAGTATGTGTATTGTTTTACGGCAAGTTAGTGGGAGCTAAGTGTATTTGTGTTTGCAGATCTACCAGAGGCATTTGACATTGAAACCCATTCGAAATGAAGACTTTGCCATGCTGGGAGACGCAGATTCACTGGCGTTGGATCAGGCAAGAGACCACGAAGAGCCGAGCTTGGAGCCGGTTGTGCCGGTCAAACGTGGCAGAAAAAGGAAAGTTGTGGAAGAGCCTGTAAGTTTATGCAAGCTTCGCAATTGCATTGGAAATAACTGCGGGTTGTATTTTCAGAGCCAAACTCCATTACATGTGCCCGAAGAGACGCCGATTCATATGCAATCGATTTACCATCCCTCGCCGGAGCAGCCGCTTCCGCCTTCCACTCCAATGCCGCTTCACTCTCCTTTGCCACCACCAGGCACTCCCCTTCATCCGCCAGGTACGCCAATGGGGACTCCTATGCACCACCCTGGTGAGTACTTGATCTAGTGAAATCAACCGGCAGTTTCATGAAAAGTGTTTGTTTCTCTAGGTACTCCGCTTCATGCGCCGGGTACTCCTATGCATCCCTCCCAGCTGGGGTTGCCTCCAGGTACGCCAGGGAATGTTTATGGCATTCCTCCGCCGACTCCCAGTTATGTAGGCGGCGGATATCCGGAAAGCTCAACCGGGATGCCTGGTCAAACTCCCTTACATTTACCCGAAGGGGAAATGCCGCATTTAGCTGCTGATCAAGTGCAGTCCATCTTGCAACAGCAAGAAAATCTTGGTAAAGACTTACTTATTTGCATTTTGCCGCAATAATTTGCTCAATTTTGGACAGTGTTTTTAACCGTTTTTGCTTAATTTCAGGGCTTCCACACATGACTCCACATGCTCATCCAGACGATCTCCTGACCCATCAACAAATGGGTCTTTCTCATCCTCAAATGAGCGGGTCTCATCTGGAACTGCCTCCTCACTACGGATTGGATCAGCAGCATATGCTCAGCCCCCACATGCCAGGTGAGTGTTGAAATTATCAAACGCAATATTAAGTACTAATTAAAAATATTGATGATTTTTCAGGTGTTTCTCACATGTCAATGGGAATTCCATCGGACATAGTAAGCCATCAGCACCTATCGCAGGAAGGGTTGGCGTCGCAAACGCCTTTACGCAGCGACCACCATATTCAACCAAGATTACCGGAGCAACCTTTGGATCAGCTGCAGGAGGATTTGCCGCCTATGGACAACATGGGTTACGATCAGGTAAGTTGCAGGTCTTTAATTCGAAAATCCAACGTTACAATTGATTGGGAACTTTCAGATGGCCAATATGGGCTACGATGATCAATTACCCAGTCAAACGCCCCATGCCGGTATGTCGGAGCGAGTGCACTCGCCTTGGGCTCCCGACTACGATCTGCCCGCTTCGGTTGATCCTGTAAGTATTTCCTGCCCTTTTCTCCCCCAAAAATATTACAATGTGTCTATTGCCGCAGACGGAAGAGCAACAAGTGGACGAGACAGATGAACAATTTGAGGAGCGAGTTCTGAACAAACGAGCATATCAGTTGTACTTGATGGTGAGAAATCGGCTAAACGACAACAATCGGCTGACTCTGTCGGAGTTGTGTCTTCGCAACAAAAGGAAACAATCGGCCCAGAAGTTCTACAGTTTATTAGTGTTGAAAAAGTTTCATGTTCTCGAACTGGAACAGCAGGGCGCCTACGAGGAAGTGTATGTAACCAAGGGCTCGAAATTCGAAAATCCTGTAATATAAATCGGAGAAAATTGCCTACTGGGTGAGTAAAAGTGATATGTGCTTTTAAATTTGAGTTCTACTTTTTTCTACAATGGAGACTAATTTGCTTGAAAAGCAGCGGATTACGTCAATTGTACATAACTTTATAAATCGGCTATGTTCGAAAAACTTGAAATATGGGAACAAACATTGTTTTTTTTTATAGCTGGTTCAAAATGCAGAGTGTTTTAAAATTTGGAAACGTCCATTACTGTTGTAATTTTCAAACACTCTGCACAATAGTTCGTAGGTGCAGGTTATTCGTGTAATGTAGTCTCTTTTTAAGATAAAAGTTGCTTTTTACACCAAAGTTTTTCTATAACGCGTTTAGTTTATTTTGAGCGGGAATAATCCAAGGCTGTGTTGAGACGAAGTGAAGAACGCCAGTTTCAGCACGTTTTCTTTAGCAGGAAATAATCCCATCAGCCTTGTATCCAGTGAAACAACCATGGTGGTGTTTCATTGAATTAAGCGCCCTGACCAGCGTTGGTTGATTTGGTTTGTTTCCTGTTAAAAACATTAAATTTACTATATTTTTTCGATTCTCCACTTCGCCTTTCTGCTTGGAACTTTTCAGCATCACACTGATATATATTATAGTCAATTTTACTCTTTTATTAACACGAAGTTTTTGTATGGAGGCGTAGCTTATACTTTATGTAAATCTAACACTTTTGTAAGCGATTTTTCCTTGATAATCTTCTGTGGTTTTTATCAGAAAGGTTTTTTTAGCGGAGCAAAGTCGACTATACACCGAATTTTAATTGATTTTGTGAATTTAAAATTATAGTACAAAATGTACAATTAAGAACAGAAGCATTGAGGTTTTCCGGAGTGCATATTGTTTGGGCCAATTTCTACCTTTTTATCACTTTCTTTGCTCGACTAAATATGCATTTCTTGGAGATTGCCGAACTTCAGTTTTCACGTTTCTTCATATATACTAGTGCCTAAAAGCCCTACTTTTTACATTCAATTAATCATAGTGCTATTTTAATTGGATAGTTTTCCGATTATAAGCAACGATGTTTTCTGGCATTTTTTTGTGAAGTTTGATAGCTTTGTTTAATGTTTCACGTAACTATTTATAAAAGCTATTGACTGAATGTGTACGCGTTTATTTTGTGACAATTGGTGAGGCAATCTCAATGAAAAACTCATTTAACATGAAATTTTAGGTTGATCATGCTGTAAATTCACATCTATTCACGTTATATTAGATTTTTAGTCTTTATGTAAGAGGTTTTCTTTGAAAGGTAATATATTATGAAGTTGTTATTACATTGATAATGTTTATAGAGTAAAACTAATGGAAAATAATTTTACTTTGTTTAGGTATTTCCTATTTCAAATTGCGACGTTTATGCATATCAGGTTGAGATGCAAAATAGATCGAAAAAAATGCCTTAAACCGATATTGAAAAGACAAACAACTTACAAGTTAGTGACTGGTGTTTTAAGGTTTTTCCGCATTGGACGGTTCTTCAAAAATGTCGTCTACCACTGTAACTTCGTCTTGAGGGTCATTCGGAATAATGTCGGAAAAAAAAATGTCTGGTGAGAATTTCAGGTCGACTTCAGTGTTGAGTTTCGACAATTCTCGAGAAGAAAACTGCGTTTCTTGTCCAGTCAAAGACATCATTGAGCATAAATGATTCTACGAAGCAAAACGCAGGGCATGGAAAGAAAGCTGCGCTTTACACTGAAAATTACCTTGATTGTTAAAGTATTTTCGCTCTCACTTAAAAAATCGCTGACTTCAATGGACGGTTTGGTGATGTCGAGGAGATCCACCTCTGATTTGGCGTCCTCCGCCACATTGCCGATAAGTTTCTCGATTTTATCGATAACTTGGAGCTCCTGCATTTCGCTCACCCGTCCATCTTCGTCCACCACTTGGTATTGAAGACCTGCCAAGAGACAGAGATTGGAAGATGAATGCCCATTTACAGGCACTTGCCTTCTTTGTTAGCTAGATTTTGTAGAACTTCTTCATTGACAGGCACGAAATTTCCCTCAGCGTCTTTGTACATTACTTCAACGTTCGTGGGCAAGTGCGAGCCCAAAATGTATTTTAGTTTGTCTGCTGTTAAAGACCGTTTCTCGGTTTGGTTTCTTTGGTTATTTGTGTTGAAGGGGGCTGAAATGTGAGTTGAAGGCTCCACTGGTTAGTAGACAGAGTAGTACCTGATGAATTTGCGGGTTGCGCCACTGGAACGGGCAGAAACATGCCATTTTTCATTTTTTCGCTAATATCATCGTCGTAGTCGAAAATTTGCACGAAAGGAACGGGCTCTGGGTGTGGAATGAAATTTTCCACAGTGGTTTCCGCGCAGGAGTCTTCTATAATAAAGCTGCTTACCTAAAAATCTGCTGTTTGCTTTTTTTTAAATTTGGTTGGTTAGGGAAACCGACCTGAGGTGCTGCAGCGATTTGTTTTTGCAGACTAGCCAATGCCATTCTGGAGGCTTGCGCCTCTTTAAAGCACGCCTGTTCAGCCTAGAAGAATGTGGATAAATCGGTGCCATAAAAACACTTCGGCGCGAAAAATACTTGTTGTTTCAACGTGCGTTTTTCTCTTGGATAAGGCTTGAAGGTGCCCACTGCGTCTGGGGCATTAACGTTGAAGTCAGTTGGTTTGAGCAACTTTGGAGGGAGGCTGATGTTGGGCGTAGGCGAAGGTGTTACTTTAACATCAATGGAATTATTCTGTACCGCAGGAGGATGCGGCAGTTGGCATGAGAAGGTGGGATATTTGGGTTTTTTGGTTAAAAACTGCGGTTTAGGCAAGTAAATGTCCTCGTCTGTAATTGGAAAAAGCGCGTCAATTGCTAATATCCCAATTCTCCAGTAGAGGCCTCACTAGAGCTGGCGTGTTCGGTGAACAGATTTTCGAGGTGTTTCATTTGAAAAAGCTTGATTATTGCCACTAAATATTTCACATTGTCCTCGTTCACTAGGGTTTGGCCGCAGTACATGATTTCTACTACGCTTTTTAGCACTGCAAAGTCGCACCCACCGATCATAATCTGTTCAATTGAAGGATTTTTTTCAAATTCTTCCTAAAACACAAAAAAAACGAATTTTACCATTTGTCTATGGGTCTATGCATCATGGACAACTGGATTAAATTGCGTTTTCAGTTTATGTAGTTTTACTTCCTTAATCGATGCCCCCTGGTCGATACCAAGTGGTAGAGCAACTTACCCTGAAAAAGGGGCTGTTAGCAGCCAAAACGAATTTGTGGGCTTGAATGGTGTTGTTTCCGCAGCAAAGCACGATGTCGACTAAACTTTGGTGCTCCATTAGCGAGCAGAAGTTTTTCAGTAAGTTCGAGGCATGCGTTTCCCAGTTGATTATATAGCGAGGACTCTTTTTGCAATTTTTACTCATCTTTACCTGCTTATTGTTGGTTGGAAGAAATTATATTTTCTCTCACCTCTATGAATTTGAGGCTTCAAAAAGCGTTTTCTTTTAAAGATTCTGTTCAATTTCCGAATGTAGGTATATCGATAAGGCGGTTAAACCAGCGCAAACGTTAACATTTAAAAAATTACTATTTTAGCACCTGGCGCATGACAGTGTTAAATGACAAAAAGTGCTGCGATGCCAGATTGGGCGGAATGAGTTGGCAGCATTTAAAGGGCGTGAGTATAGGAGGCTGTAAGAGTTGGTTTTTACCCGTTTTTTTGCACCCAAATTAAACAATCTATTTTTTATGGAACTGTAGCAAATAATTAAAACGGGGTTTTTCATCATCACTAGGAAAAATTCAATTAAAACTCCCGAAAATATTGTTAAGAAAAAATATTTTATTCGGTTATATTAATTTTATACAGAAGACTACAATTAAATTAGTTCTGTCCTTCCAGAGTTTCCGAATGTATGAAAGCAAACAAAGCCGTGTAAAAGTGATTATTGCAATATTTTTTGGCAGTTTTTAAAACAGTTTGTAGAAAAATACGGTTTTTTTGCGGAACACTTTTTCCTATAAAAGCTCAATTTGGCACTATATCTGGAATATTGACACCATTGATTTCCTTTTGTTTTTTCAATGTACGATCGCTAATTAAGTAGAAAACATCAATAAACTGATCGAGTCTTGCGGGCTGTTAGGACGTTTCGCAAGCGCGAGTGGCTTGCGTCTTCAGATGGGGTTTGTTCGAAAGGTTACATCTGAAAATGTAAGCAAAATGTCGGAAAGATGCAGATATCAACAGCCTAAAAGCCCGTAAGGAATCAGTTCCAAGCAATGGCCGGAAAAGCCTCTTTTGATAAAACATCAAAAGTTTACAGATTTGTATGTACATCAAACATTCGATTTTCACACACAAGTAGGAAGCTTTTAAACAGAATGGCTAACTTGCATTTATGGGCTGATTATTGGTATATCACATCTTATGTTAACGTAGGAAGTTGAATGAAAATGGTCAGCAAAAGGCCGCTAGATTGAATACAAATCGAGCGAACGAGATAATCAATTATTGTAACAAATACATAATAAATTCCACAGCCATAAAATATGTATATTTCCTTTCTAAACCCGCTGGAACCGAAACATATGGAATTTGCCGTTTTTGTGCCGATGCGTGCCGATCAAACTGCAGTATTCCATATATTTCAGTTGCGGTAAAACCGTTGGCTTGCTTATTCTTCCACAGTTATATAATCATTTTCATCAGATAGTAAAACATCTAAATCGCTTTGGACGGTATGCACGTTTGAATCTATATCTACCGTGGCCAAATCGATCGTATCATAGGGTGCCGGGACGCCCTGCGTCCTTTTTCCGGCGTTCTTTTGCTTTGGGGTGGCAGCGGATTCGGGAACTTTGGCCACGCTGCTCTGCACTAAAATAGCGGTTCTAGGCGACTTCCTAACGGGTTCCACTATCGCACTCGTTTTATCCGGTTTTCTCAGCTTCAAGCTGAACTTAAACGGCGGCTTGTACACCACTTGCACGCGCACTTTGTCCTTTTCCTGCGGAATGTTGGACACGCTGTGCGACTTGTTTTTGTCCACTCGCGGCTTAATGGTCGGCTTGGTTCGGATATTTGTCAAGCCTACCGGGGTACTTTTGGACTTCGGAAGATTGTACTGGTTCTTCAACCAGTGGTGGACTTTGCCAACAGGATCGGTGGATTCTTGGACAATGGCCGCGTGCACCACTGGCGATGTTGTGTTGTCGTTTTTGCCATCGATGTCCGGCTGGATCGAGCTGTAGTCGATTATCTCTTTTTTCTTCTTTTTCTTTGATTTCAGCGGCAATTTCTTCACTTTGCTGCAAACATAAACACCGGTTAGTCTTTTTCTTATACAGGGTGTTTGGTAAGTAGATGCATTCCTTGTAGGAGGTGTACGTAGAGAAAAAGAGTCAAGTCAAGAGACCTTTTCTCTTCCAAATTGAACAGGAATTTGAATCTTGAGGTTTATCGCTTAAAAATCAGTGGCGTAACATTTTTTTGTTAAAAATTAGTTACAGTCGTGCCTGTGTCCACGCCACTGGAAAAGGTAGAAACAAAATTTTCATGGCAAAACATGCATTGTTGTTCAGATCCTAGGCCTGCAAAATTTCGTTCAAATATTCCAAGCGGTTTCCGCAATATTAATAAGTAACATTTTTTTAATTAAAACTTTATCACCCTGTAGATCGGAAACTAAGCGTTTTTGCAACATGGCACATTAATGAAATATATCCTTTTACTTGCACTATCACCCCCTGCAAGAAATGCATCTACTTACCAAACACCCTGTATATTGCTGCAAGACCAAAAAGTTGATTTTTTGGGACCACCCTGTAATTAGACGAGGTTGCCCAAAAGCAGTCCAAAACAGTTTCGAGCTATTTGACTTATATGTACACTTTTGGTCTTAACATTCAAGAAAACTCTTTTTTGACCAACTAGAAGCATGCCGAAATTTCCGCAATTTTGATTTTTTCATTTGCCACCCTGTAGAACATTTAGCTGAGGTGCTCAATTTTTACCAAAACATCGACTCGCAGAAAACAAATGCTTCAAACTCAATAATGCTTCAAACAGAAACAAAGTCACTCGAAGTTATTGAGTTCCAAACTTAGGGCAAATTCGGCTGTGAAACCTTCATGCTGTTCAGTTTAGTATTAGTCCTTTCGTTGGCGACCCAAAATTTATAAATTTTGGGCCTAAAAGGGACGGAGAAATTTTCGGTTTACCAACACCAAGAAACTGCAAATTTATATCGTTAAAGCCGAATACCTGAAAAACTGTCCAATTTTGTTTCATATTTTAAATAACAAATAAAAACATAATAATAGAAATAAATGGCGTTTTTAGAAAGTGAACCATCGATAAGGAAATGTTGGCAGTTTTCTCAAAAAATGCTTGAATTCAAAAAGTTTTAGATTTGCGTGGTTTTTTTTGAGTTGCAAAATCCACTTGAACATGACGCTGCTTTTTTCGAAGTTTCTCAAGAACCATTCGAGCCAGAAAATTTGTTTTGGCATCGTTGGATAGAGAATTTATTAATAGATTTACAGATTATATTAGAATAAGATTTTGCAACTAAAAAAAAACCACGCAAATCTAAAACTTTTTGAATACAAGCATTTTTTGAGAAAACTGCCAACATTTCCTTATCGATGGTTCACTTTCTAAAAACGCCATTTATTTCTGTGTAGAATGATGTACAAATGAGCGTTCCTGCTCATTTTGCGTCCGAGATATGAGCAAAAAGGGGACGGAAAACATGAAATTTTGGCATAATCTTGAATCTAAGTGTTTGATATTCAAATTTCGCTTTCTGGGCCAAAACTATTCGAATTTCCTCACTCACGTTGTTACGACTGAATCGACTTTTCAATTCTCT